AACTTGATCTACACCTATGGATGCAGTAGCTCAAAAGCGGGAACAAATCCTTACAGCAAGGATCATTCCCACCCTCTCCATACACAGAGTAGACAGGGATGGGCAACTTGGACATTGGCTACCCAAAATGGGTGGGTAGGGGGGCCTGCAAAGGCAAGAAGTGACTGGCTTACAAGCTTTCAAGAGGGAACCTAGATTCGGAGGGCATGTAGGAAGGTAGAATCTCCACTAAGTAGTATCTAATCTGTCTAGGTGGGGCTGATGAAATGAAATGCGGATGGGTCTCTTGTGATACAATAGTGAATAATTGTTATCAGGATTGTGAGTGCTGGAAATGTAAAGGTAGACATTTTGTAGCAAGGAAGGAAGTGATTAACTTTTCGGTCTAGGAGCGGAGGTCCCTGAGACCATCAAGGGAGAAGAGAGGAGAGCGGGACCCTACCCATAGAAGCAGTGATGCCTGAGATGGAGGCAGAGATGATGATGTGGAGAGATGGAGCAGTTGGGGACTTTGGACACAGAGAGGGAGAGGGGCTGTGTGCTGATGACTGGGGGGCAGGCTTGAAGTGTATACTCTTTGTTTGGTTGATGATGCATGGAGGGGATTGTAATCATGACAATGAAACGAAATATGATAGGATGAATGTAAAACTAATGTTCTTCCATGTAAACTATCACATAATTCACAAAACAACATTAAAAAAAAAAAAAAAGACTAAGGGCCAGAGTTTTGAGTCTCAGCTCTGGGAGGGACTGTAACAAACATACAAACATGTAGACGCATCTCACCCTTGCTTAGATTGGTTTCTCTTTGAAGGGTGACCTATTACTGCTTCTTTATCTTTTCAGATAATTAACATTTCCAACTCATCGCCCAGGCTACCCCTCTTCCATGACAGAGCCCTCGTGACTACTCAAGGTTCCACTCATCTTTCCCCTCTTTGAAGTCCTAGAGCATATATACTCAATTCATATGATCATTACCCTATACTCTTTTATATATATATATATTGTATTCATTTCCTCAGCAGGATTATAATTTCCTTAAGGACAGTGACTCTGTAACATGAAAATGGAGCACAGGAGACACAGTTTAATACTTGTTTAATGACTCTTGATATTTGCATGCTTTTAGGTGGGTAATTATATAATTTTAAGACATTTAGCTAAAAGAAGATAGTTTCGTGAAAAGTTCTTTAAGGAACTTAAATATGCTTACTTTGATCTCAAAAAGACAAATTTCTTTTCAATCTATTGCTAGAGGTTGGAGAAGAAAAGACAATTAGAACTAATGCTAGACATAGACTTCAAAGATGAGGTTGTTATGCAAAAATCAATGTTATATGAAAAATTGAGACTGTTACAACTAGTCTCAACTGTACTGAAATATGCTTGTGAGAGAGTACTTTGGATGTCTGACCATTTTCTATAGCCATGGAGCTCCACAAAGTTTACCATTTGTATAGGAATCTTTTAGCTCTGGGCTGGGAAAATCTCTTTTCTGTAAAATTTCATGGAATTTCTGCTTCTGGCAGTTGTGGATCTTGAAAATATGCGACACAAATGGGCACCAAATAAAGTGAGAAAAGTCTTAGCTACATATTTTTAAGTTATTCTTGGTTCCAGGTAAATAACTGGGCAAACTTCAACTGGCACTGACGAGAATAACCCTTTAGTCAGACTCAGGGGGGATCAGCTTTTGATCTAAAAACCTGGTCCTCCAAACCAGCTGTCCAAGGAAGCAAACACAAGTCCAAGACCTTACTTCATATTCTGGATGACCAAACATTCCACCTGCATCTCTGTTTTGCCCATCGATGGATGGTTTGAGTCTTTTGAGTTTCTGCATTGAGTCTGGTTGAGGACTGGCATTTTATATTTGGGTATAGGTCCATTTTCTTGGGTGATTTTGGTCATTTTGTCTGCCGTTTCAGTCACCTGGACTTGACTGAATGACTACACATGCAATCCTAGGGACACTTTTTTGTCTTAGAAGAGCCACTTTGTTTCAGTAAGGAAGGAGCCAACACTTTGGGAACAGTTTTCAATTAGTTCAGTAATTCTGATGACGTTTCCATGTAATAACAGCTGACATTTATTGTGTTAATACTACCTGCCAGGATCTCTGCTGAGTACTTTGTTGATGTTGTTAGGTGTAGATGTTGTCAAGTCAGCTCCAATTCATAGCAACCCTATGCACAACAGAATGAAGTAGTGCCTAGTCCTGCACCATCTCACAATTAAAGTACTTTGTATATATCGTTTTATTTAATCTTCACAATACTAAAACAATGTAAGATATTGTTACTGTAATTTGACCGATTAGGAATTTGAGGCACAAAGGAGCTAAATAAGTTGGTCAAAATCATATAAAAAATAAATAGCAAAACCAATTTCTTGATTTCTCCCTCCTTCCCTAAATCTCTTCTACTTGTAATCTTCTTCCTGTCAGCTTATGGCAACTCCATCCTTTCAGTTAGTTAGGACAAAAATTCTAGGGCCATCTTTGATTATAATCTCTCCATCCCACGTTCAGTGCTTCTGGAAATCTGTTATGCTGACCTCTACCTTCAAAATATATCTGACCCTGGCCACGTCTCTCCATCTACATTGCTCTTTTCTGATTCAAGTCATCATCACCTTTTGCCTGAAATCTTGCCAGAAGTCTCCTAATTGGTCTTGCTACTTCTTTCTATTTTTCTCTTTCCATGGACTGTTCCAAAAACCAGAATGATCTTCAAATGGACGCTATTCCCTATCGCTCCTCTGCTGAAATGATAAAATCTTTATAAGCGTCTAATACCCTATACTCTCTGTTACCTCAATGCCTATTGCTTTTCTAACTCACTCTCTTCTGGTGACCCTCTAGCCTTCTTGCTCTTCCTTGAATGTACCCAGTATTTCTAAATTTATGGTCTTATTATTAGGGATCTCTATTTAGAATTTCTCCCTTAGTCACCTCATAGTTAACTTCCTCACTATTCAAATGACAATTTCTCAATGTCTATTAGTCCATTTAAAATTGGAACCCACTCACCCAGGTAGTCCCAAACCTTCTTACTCTGCTCTATTATTTATATAGTATGCATTCCTTTTAACATAGTATATAATTTACTTATTACTTTTATTGCTATCATTTGCTTCCCCCTTTAGCCACCTTTCCCACAATAGACAGATATTTCAGTCTGTTGAATTGTCTGATGTAACCCTCACACCCAGATCATACCTAGCACATTGTGCCTAAAAAATACGTGTTGATTAAATGAATGAATGAAGCTGGGTCTGAAATCTTAGGATGGTTATATTTTGGTGTTGACAGGCAGCATTTTCAAATGAAAACAATGCATATGCTATGAGGTGGTACTGACCAGGGGTCAGCTGAACAGAAAACTTAGCAACATGTACTGAAGATATCAGTGGAGGTTGGGATGAGTCAAGATTTAGTGAGACTTCTCTTAATTTTGCAATGCATTGGCAAGGATACCTTTTATTTTTGGCTTCTTATTGTTGTTAAGTGCCACTGAGTCGGTTCTGACTCATAATGACCCTGTATAGGGCTTCCAAGGAGCAGTTAGTGGGTTTGAATCACCAACCTAGTGGTTAGCTTATGGTTAGCAGTCCAGTACTTATCCTACAGTGCTACACCAGGACTCCTTTCTTGGTTTAGAGGCCAGGATTTAAATTTGTAGCCCTGTATGTGTCATACCAGGGTCCTGAGATGTTTTCCCTTCCCCTGTCCTGGCAGCCCCAAAGGCAGGGTCTGATTCTCTGGGGTATGGTTAGATATAATGAGAACTGCAGACCTAACTCCGGATGGAAAGTGAGGTGAGGGCAAGTTGAATGGTGTCCATCATGAGACCAGGTCTTATGAGCTGACTCATTTGTGTCTTATCTGGCTTCAGTGCATGCCTGCTATCTCTGTCCACACATAACGTGCTATGAACCCAACTCTAATAACTGAGGAAAATCTACAATCATACCTTCCAAAAGTCAGCCAGGAAGTGATAACTGTTCCTGCCTAAGCAGACCATTTGGTCAAACAGTCTCTGGAAGGATCTCAAGTTCATTCTAGAATGATCTAGAGATACAACAGCTTATAGAAGCTGAATATTCAAAGATTATTTTGAAAATTCTCATGTTAGGGGCTGTGGTCTATACAACAGTTAACTATGTTCCCACTGACTTTGGACTGGCTCAACTCTAAGAGACTGACAGCAGGTGACTTTGTAAGCTGAAGTGGTCTTCAGAACCTTCTAAAGGGGCCTTAAGACCACCAAACATAGGACCCAACTCCAGTAATTTTGGTTCAACTACTCTTGCATAAGGACAAGGCATCAAAAAGAAATTTTTTTAAAATCTACATGTCATTTTATATGTTAACAGAATTGAAAACCACCTGACATAAGGGATCCAGAGAAGAGACATACATCTGAGGTGTTAAGAGAGAGAAGATGCAGCCCTTACACCTGCCTCCCAGGCCTTACTGCATAGCTCCTCCTCCAGCTTCATTAACTTTCCATGTTCGACTGGATTATCTCCAGAATCTGCAACTTCTCTCGCCTTGAATTTAAAAAACCCTCTGTAGACGCCACATTTTCCTCCAGGTACTGCTTCCTTTCCCCAAACCTCTTTAGAGAAAAACTTGAAAAAGTGCTTCCTATAAATGCTCTGCCCATTTTCTTACACCCACTCGACAGGCATCTGCCCTCACTTCACAGAAACGACTCCCATCCTGCCACCTAGTCAAGCCAGTGCGTCAGTCCGCCCTTCAATACAGGCATGAGGAAGCTGGGGAAACCCAGGCCAGGCATTCCTCACACACTCCAGGGAAACTGCAGCCCTTCACTGGCCTTGGAAGACCAGGAGAAAAGTCCACAGAACAGAACACCAAACCCGGAAACTTTCTAGAGACACCTTTGGAGAAGGATGATTTTTGAAAAGTGTTGTTGATGATGATGATCGTAATGAGGTAATGAGTAGAGGGAGAGGTGGTAACTTACACAGTGTGTGGTGGTGATGATGACAGAACTGGAGATGAAAGAGAGGCCATCATTCATGCTGACCTGGAGTGCGGCTTTCCTGCAATGACAACGAGGGAACCAGAGAGGTCAGGACAGTGTGCAGTGAGCAGGGGACTGAGAGCCAGGGATAGAGGCCCTCTTTGGACGCTGTTACTAACTATCCATGGGAATGTAGCCGCTCTTATTGGGGGCCTCAGTTTCCCCATTTGTAAAATGTGGGGGGTATTCTCTATGGCCACCTCCCTCTAACACTCTAGAGAGATGGCAGAGTGATTCTGCGGTTGTGTTCAAGGCAGTGATGCTGGACCTTCTTGCATTGTGGCAAATAGTACTAAGTGAGCAAAACTTGCTCCACTGAACTGACTTGTCACATTGTAGTAGAACAAAGTATTCTTTTCTTTTGTAATTTATTGTTGTTGTTTTTTTAAACAGTCATCAACACATAGGTAGTAAAACATTTTTCTTTTCTATAATCTTTACATGTGGCATTCAGTGACATTAATGAACGTTTCTCATGCTGCTTAACCGTTACCATTAAATGTCCTCTGAATTTTCCTTCCCTTTTAACAGAATTCAGTGTCTTCCTTCCCCTAGTAATCACTAACTAATTTTGATCTCTATGCACTTGCCTGTTCTAGATATTCCCTGTATGTGGGAGCATACAATACTAGGAGAAAGCAGTCTTTTAAAAAATGACACAGCTCAGTGGGGTAAACTGGACAAGCTATAAACCTGAAGTTCTGCTGGTGTTATCTGGACTTCCAGCGATCCAGTGGGCGTGGCTTTGGTACTGTCCGTCAAACTCACAGATGAGCTCATTCCCCCTCCACCTCTCCCTCTATTTGCTGCTCAGGAGCCTGAGCTCTGCAGCAGGGACTCAGGGCCCATTTGTGCAACCAGCATCATCACAGGCTGATGTGAAGCAAGCAGACTTGAGGGATTGACCATTTCATTAAATAATGGCAAGCAGAATTCACATGAACAAAAAGGTAGCTTTTTTTTTTTTTTCCAATGCTATCGTTCTATCTCCAGCCTGTCACAGACATGTTTTTGGAAAGGCTGATTTTCGCTGTTTGCACCAACGTCACCTTTCTCTTCTCCCACAAATGTCTTTTCTAGCTGAGGGTTCCAATTCTCTTTCTTCTGGTGAACTTTTGGATCATACGTCAGTAGCATACATTATAACTGCACCACCATGAGATTGCCCCCAATAAGTCATTTAAGGGAAACACGTCCCATAAGTCACTTAAGGGAAACATCCAATGGTGTATGGAAACACAGAGGAAAAGCCTGGAACTTGGCTTGTAGAGCTCTGAGTTTGGAGTCTTGGTTTGCCATGAACCCACTTAGCCTGTCTGAGCTCCAGTTTCCCTATCTGTAAGATATCTAACAATCTCCTAGCAGGGTAAGTAGGATGTTGTTAATTGTTGTTGAGTAGATTCTAACTTATAACTTAACTATTATGCCACCAGTGTGATACAGTGAGATAATGTGTGTTGGAGTACTCTGGAAATTGTGAGAGCTTTTTACAAACGCTGTGGTGATCAAACCAGGCAGATCTTGGTTTGAGTCCAGATTGCCAAGGGTGTGCACCCTTGGGCAAGCTCTCAGGCATGTCTTATCCTGTTGCACAAGCACTGAAAATACTGGGGATATTTCTAAATATAACTCTAAAATTGGGATAACGAGAGTATCTGGCTCCTTGGGAAGTAGGGAGGGTGTGTGGAACACTCCTTGTAGAATGCTTATCCGGGTACTGGGCTCCCTGTGACTGTCTTTACCAAGAGGGGTCTAGAAAAAGGCTTGCTGAGGTGGTGAACTTATAAATACAATTCTGACAGCAGAGAAAGACATTTTCTTTTTCCTTTGTCCCCTCTACCTCTTCTTTCCAAGGATCCCTGGTAACATAGTAGAGTAGATGTTGGGCTGTTAAATGCAAGGTCAGCAGTGTGAGTTTAACAGGCACTTCACAGGAGAAAGATGAGGCTTTCTACTCCTGTAAATATTTATAGCCTCGGAAACCCTATCCAGGGTCACTACGAGTCAGAATTGACTCCACTGCACATAACCACCACTTCTTGTTTCCTCCCAGATCACGAGGTTTAGTTGTTGGAGAACACTTACATGCCAACTTCCTGTAAGATAGGTGCTGGACACAGCAAATAAGTATCTTCTACTGTGAAGGGCTTCTCATCTGCAAAAAGGAGGTCACCAGTTAAGAGGAGCGAGGCACATTTAAAATGTCAAATTCATCAACCAAGTACAAGGAGACCCCAGAAAACTACAGAGCATTTTTTTTCAATTGTGGAAAATCTATAGGTGACAAAACATTTGCCAATTCAGCAACCTTCACAAGTATAGTTTGTTGTTGTTGTTGTTGTTAGGCGCCTTCGAGTCAGTACCAACTCATAGCGACCCTGTGCACAAAAGAACGAAACACTGCCTGGTCCTGAGCCAACTTCACAATCTTTGCCACGCTTGAACCCATTGATGCTGCCATTTTGCCAATCCATCTCACTGGGGTCTTCCTCTTTTTCTCTGACCATCCACCTTACCAAACATGATATCTTTCTCCAGAGACTGGTCCCTCCTGATAATATGTCCGAAATATGAGAGATGAAGTTTGGCTACCCTGGCCTCCAACCAGCAGAATGGTTTAGTGATATTAAATATGTTCATGTTGTTCAGCCACCATCATTAATCCCATTCTCCAAAATTTCCATCACTTTTAATAGCAGATCAGTATCCCCTCAACTTTGTGTCTTTCTTTCCTCCTCCGTCCCAGCTGCCCCTGGTAACCACTAATAAACTTTCATCTCTATATGCATTTCTGTCCTAGATAGTTCATAAAAGTGAGACCATACTATATTTGCCCTTTTGGGATAGACTAATTTTATTCAACATAATTATTTTCAAGGTTCATCCATGTTGTATCATCAGGTTTTCTTTTCTTTTTATGTAAAAAAAACCAAACCTTTTTGTGATTAATAAAGAAAACAAAAAAACACAAAAGAATCCAACCTCACCTATACTTGGGTTCTAAAATCCATTAGCAATGAACTCAAGGTCTCCCACCTGAATGACGTATATGTCGAGTTGATCGAATCAATGAGCAAATAGACATGACGCTCTTAAGATACACTGATGGGAAACAAGAACATAGTAGACTGGTTCTCAAAGAGCTTCTTGTCTAAGTCCAGATCCATACCATGTAAAAAGTTCACTGAGCAGAGATGGAGGCAGAGACAAGGACGTGAAGAGATGGAGTGGCTGGGGACTCTGAACTCAGGGACGAAGAAGGGCTGTGTGCTGGAGGCTGGGGGGCAGGCTTCCAGGGTATACCCTTTGGTTATCTGAATGGCTATATATTCCTGAGTGCTTCGGTGTACATAAAAAAACAGAAAACAAAACAAAACAAAAGAACAACAACAACAGAGAGAATGGAAGCAAATGCTGTTGAATGATGATGCATGGAGGGGATTGTTATCATTGCAATGAAACGAAATATGATAGGATGAATGTAAAGATGATGTTCTCCCATGGAAGCTATCACTCAATTCACAATAAAAACTGAAAAAAAAAGTTCACTGAGAAATAGAAAGTGGCTAACCCAAACTCAATGGCACTTAACAAGAACAACAAAGCCAAATTATCATTTAAAGTAATATTGAAGACGGGAGTTCCCTTTGGTGGGGGGATGTGGTCAGGTCACAGTGAACACAGAATCTGAGCTGTCCTTGGTAGAGAGGTGGGGAAGAGGCAGTTCTGCTGGGAGGAAAAGCGTAAGCAAGGTAGGAGAGCCAGGTAAAGAAAAATATGGTCCAGGGCAGTATATAAGTAGAATGTAGAAAGATCAGTATAGAAAGAAGTTAGATCTTTTAGTTGGTCTGAGGGATACAAATATTCACATACAGCATTGGTGTGAGCTCCTGTTTTCAATGTTTTTTTAAGCATACATTCAGGAGTAGAATTGCTGGGGGTCCTGGTGTGGTGCTGTGGGAAAAAGCACTGGACTGCAAGGTCTGTTTGAACCCCAAGGTAGGCAGTTCAAACTCACCAGCCACTCCTTGGAAACCCTATACAAGGTCGCTATGAGTCAGAACTGACTTGGTGGCACTTAACAACACAACAGCATGGTACTTCTAAGTTTAACTTTTTGAGGAACTGCCAAACTGTTTTTCAGCGGTTGCACCATTTTACATACCCACTAGCAATGTATGTTGTTCGTTGTTGCTGTTAAGTACAGTCAAGTCAGTTCTGACTCATAGCCACCCGGGTACAGCATTTTCGAGGAACAGCTGGAAGGTTTGAATCACTGACCTTACGGTTTAACAGTCCTGTGCTTATTCTACAGTGCCACACCAGAAGGGTTCCAATATCTCAGCCCACATCTTCTAAGCTACAGAATGTTAATAAGGCTGTTGAATTTGCATGAAGCAGAAAATAGATCAAAATGAGGCTAGAAAAAAAACCAGTAGGGCCAGATGACCAAACCTGTGTAGGTTTGTTTTGTTATAATGGGGCTTTGGGGATTTCTTTCTAAAGGCATTAAGTAGATTATGGAATGTGGAATAAAATTATGAAGCTTATTATTATAGTAAAGGAGCCCTAGTATCACAGAGGTTAAAGTGCTCAACTGCTAATCAAAGGGTCAGTAGTTTGAATCCACTAGCCCCCCAGTCTGCTTCCATAAAGATTTATCATCATGGAAACCCTATGGAAGCAGGTCTACTTTGTCCTAATAGGTCTCTATGAGGTGGAATGGACTACATGCAATGGGTGGGGGAGGTCGGATGACAATATTAGCCACAACAATGAACTCAAACATACCGTGATCATGAAGCTGGAGCAGGGACAGAGACAATGTTGGTATGTTATACATAGGTCTCCATGAATCAGAGCCAAATTGATGGCAGCGAACAGTAACAATGATGTTACAGCTATGTAGGGAGACGGGGAGAGGCTGTCCTGCTGGGCGGAAATACTGGCATGTAGACAAGGAGCTCTGGTAGCATAGTGGTTACGAATGGAGCTGCTAATCTCATGGTCAGCAGTTCAAAACTACCAGCTGTTCCGAGGGAGAAAGATGAGGCTTTCTGCTCCCGTAAAAATTTACAGACTCAGAAAACCTGTGAAGGGTCGCTATGAGTTGGAACCAACTCCATGGGACATAACAACAACAACAACAACAAGGCACTCTCTAAGCACTTCACAGGCAACACATAATTAAATTTAACCTTCCAATGGGATGTAGGCAGGAACCATGTTTCTTTCATTTTAAAGATGAGGAATGCTCAGAGTAACCTGTCCAATGTAACACAGGGGACCACATGTATGACACCCTGGCAGTCTGACTCAAGAGTCCATATACTTATTCACTAAGTAGCACTGCCATCTCTCATACGAGCCTTGTCTCATTTCTTTCTCACAACCACCTGTGGGAGAAGGACCAGAAGTCCTAAATGGGCAAGACCGGAAGCATTAGTTCATTTTTCAGATGTGAAAACAGAGGCTCAGATAAGTGAACGTCAGGGGCCAAGCCAGGACTAGAAGTGGCTTCTCCAGTGTTCTCTCCTCACTGAGCCTCTCCATTCCAGGAAAGGCTTGTAGTGGAGAGGAAACAAACTCGGGACGGGTGTGCTGACCAGAAACTCTATTTTCTCTTAGACATGCCTTATCCTCTAGCACACACACTAGTAGTACCTGGGGGTGCAGATCCCAGCCCACAGAGTTATGGAAAGCCACAGGGCAGACACAGACAGCCTCATGACTCCTGGGGTCAGGCTGAGGAGGATGAGCCAGTATGCTGTCACGGCTATGGCCAGAGGCACTCCAGGGGCTGCAGTGGGGGAGCAGGCCCACATTATTGTGTGGCACCCTCGCTTCTTTCAGGGCTCAGTCTCTGAAAATCTCCTTGCTCCTTCCCTCACCCCAGCTGGAACAGTGTGAAAGGACTAGGTTGGCTGAGGCTAAGTAGGAGCTCCTCATTGCCCTCTCCTTTCCTTTGCCTTGCCTGCTGGTGAAACCAAATGCTTCTGGAGCCCAGCAAGGCCTCCCTGGAAGGACAGAAGAGAGTTAGCCAGAGCTGTAGCACCGTCCCTCAGAGAGTGGATCAGCCTGTGAGGCTTGTGGGCCATGCTGGATGGAGCTGGCATTTTCTGCTCTAAGAGGAATTGTTTGGTTTGGAGCCGGTTTTCTCTTTACCACAAAAATGAGTGCCTTTCCCTCCCTTTCTCTAAACAAAGGAGGGTCACTTGGTTTCCATAATTGGGATCATCTGACTCTTTCCTGGAACGTCCACTTGGGAAGCAGGGCACAAAGCCTTCCTCATCTGCTCCTTGGCTAGGCCTCGTTTGGCATGGGGGCCTTTCAGCCTCTCTGCAACCTCTGCCAAAGCCCCTTGTGCTGTGATGACTACGGGGCTATAATCCACTCTGAGGACAATAGCGGCCCCTACTCCTCTGCCCACTGTGCAGTCACTTCCCTGCTGGTTAGCACGAGTGGCCAGGGAAATGGAGTCCAGGAGCTCGGACATGCCACTTGGCTTTTGTTTGCAACTTGGGAAACAATTAGGGAGAGGCAGGAGTTGGAAACCTGAATCGAATGGGAATTTTGAGATGATCTGCAAATACAAATATCCTTGCCTGTTGCCAAACAGATTTCTGATTTCAGTGCATACCCGTAACACTGTTGCTAGTTCTTGTTGAGTTGGCTCTGAGCCGTGGCAATCCCATGCAAAACAGAACAAAATGCTGCTCTGTCCCGTTCCATCCCCAGGGTCACCAGCATGCTTGAGTCTATTGTGGTCTTTCAATCCAGAGGGCTTATGGAAAGGACACTGTTGTGTTGTGATCCATAGAGGTTTTGTTTTGTTTTGTTTTGTTTTATGTTTTTATTGTTAATTGAGTGATGGTTTACATGGGAGAACATCAGTTTTATATTCACCTTATCGTATTTCATTTCATTGCAATGATTACAATCCCCTCCATGCATTGTCATTCAACAATGATCCATACGGTTTTCATTGGTTAATTTTTGGAATTAGATTGCATATCTCCCTTCCTAATCTGTTCTAGTCTGGAAGCTCCTGTGAAACCTCTCTGCCTTGGGTGATGGTGCTGATATTTGAAATAACCTGTGGCATAGCTCCCAGTATCACAATAACATGCAAGTCACCAAATAAACAACAAACTG